ACACGCCCGGTGTGAGTTTAAGCCACTGGCTCCAGGACTTGAACTGCAGTTGACTACATGGGAGTCCAGCCACATAGCCATTACGCCAACTGCTGGTCCCTGTAATGCAATTTTTAAAATTAGTTCATTGCTAGAGTGCATGGGCTCACCAGAAAGAAAGAGACGCAGATAGGGAGGGAGGGGGAAAGCACCCCCCAATGGGGCGTAGTAGCATCGTAATCCCTCTCCTCTATTTCCCCATCCTGTCAGGATTTGGGGCATGCATTCATGTGCACTTGGCATTTTCAAGCTACTGGGGCCAGGATTTGAACCACGGTTGGCTACTAGGCCACAAAGCCAGCCCTGTAAGGCAATTGTTTCTCATTTGCTTTCATTTTATTAAAGCACTGCTTGCAAGTAGATGTGAATAATCCGTAGTGCTAGAAAGGTTTATAATAGTAAAAGGTAGCAGCCCTCCTGGGGCCCTGGCCCAGTCCTGGCCCAGAGGCAAGGCCGCCCCCTTAGCCCCTTCTCCTGCATACCTCCATCTTATTAGAGGGTTTGCACCTCTTTTTTTTTATTTTTTGGAATTAATTATTTAACTGTATTTATTCATTCTTTTTTTTTTTTTTTAATTTGATGAGAGAGAGAGAAGGTGAGAAAGCAAGCCACCAGGTCTGGGACTTGAACCATGGTCAGCCATGTGGGAGTGTCCAGCACCTCAACCACCATGCCACCTGCTGTTACCCCCATGGACCTCTTGATTCCCCAATTTTAGTCACCATCTAGACTTCCCATGCCAAGGATGAGGACTTCAGATTTCTTACACGTTCTTGTCCCCTCTCCCCATCCTCGCCAAGTGATTTTGTTAAATGCATATTCAGTGTCCCCATTACTAACGTAATGGAAATATTATTTCCTGCTCAACCACAAGTTAGTAATTACCTCCTTTTTTCATTTGCTTAGTTTTGAGTTTTTAAAAATGTCTCAGTATTTTCTCATACTCCTACCTTCATAAAAACCTCATGGTGAGCTGCTTTAAGATGAAGCTGAATATCTCCTTCCCAGCCACGGGCTGCCAGAAACTCATCGAAGTGGACAATGAACACAAACTTCACACTTTTTATGAGAAGCACACAGCCACAGAAGTTTCTGCTGATGCTCTGGGTGAAGAGTGGAAGGGTTATGTAGTCTGGCCAGGGGAGGAAACGACAAACAAGGTTTCCCCATGAAGCAGGGTGTCTTGCCCCACGGCCGAGTCTGCCTGCTACTGAGTAAGGGACGTTCCTGTTACAGACCAGGAACTGGAGAAAGCAAGCGCAAATCTGCTCGGGGGTGCATTGTGGATGCCAACCTGAGGGTTCTCCACTTGGTTATTTTTAAAGAAGGAGAGAAGGATATCCCAGGACTGACTGATACCACCGTGCCTCATCGCCTGGGGCCTAAGAGAGCTAGGGGAATCCGAAAACTTCTCAATCTCTCTAAAGAAGACGATGTCCACCAATATGTTGTGAGAAAGCCCTGACACAAAAAAAAGGTAAGAAACCCAGGACCAAAGCACCCAAGATTCAGCGTCTTGTGACTCCCCGTGTCCTGCAGCACCAACGCCTGCGTATTGCTCGCAAGAAACAGCGTACTAAGAAAAATACGAGGCAGCAGAATATGCTCAACTTTTAGCCAAGAGAATGAAGGAGGCTAAAGAAAACCGCCAAGAACAGGTTGCGAAGAGACGCAGGCTGTCCTCTCTGAGAGCTTCCACTTCTAAGTCTGAATCCAGTCGAAAATAAGATTTTTATGAGAAAGAAAGAAATAAGATCAGATCAAAAAAGAAAAAACAAAACAAAACAAACAAACAAAAACAACAAAAAAAAACCCCTCATGGTGAAGGGGCTGGACAGGGGCACAGCCAAGGCTGGCCCATGTAGGGGGACCTGGGTTTACGTCCAAAGACCTCTCTGAGTACACCAGGCAAGCACGCGCCTGTGACCCAGGCTGGCTGAAGGCGGGGACGGGTCTCAACATCAGGACCGATTGGAGGTGCTGCCTCTCTTCCTCATTCAAGGAAGTCATAAATGAACTTTTCAAACCAAATGAAAAGCGTCGAAGGGGGGCGAGGAGAGCGTATAGAGAAGGAGAGCACGGGAACAGATAGAGGCGCGACATTAGTGGGACACAGAAGTGGTTTATGACCTGTCGACGATGACATGTATAGTATTCTCTGCTGGACTGGTCTGAGAAATATTTCACGTTGGGTAAATTCTCTTTATAAGCCAAGTGATATAAAGTGATTGAATGTTTATCAACATAATGAGAATAAATAATAATAACAATCTGAAAAAATGAATAGCTATTCGATGATGATGATGTGGATAGTAATGTCTTCATCTTGACTGGTATGCAAGGTAATTGGGCTGGAAAAGAAATGCAATACACTGTAAAGCTAAATACGATTAAATGGAATATAAAAATAAATAAATACATTTTTTAAAAAATCTATGACACTGGCTGGTCCTGGATTATTTTTTAAAAATACTGTGTGTATCTCTTTGATATCATTTTTATAAATTAAAAAATATATATGGTCTAAAAACAACAACAAAATGAAACAAAATAAACCTCGCAGTGAGCTTTTAGAATTCCACTTCAGTGCCTAGTTTTCCTTGCAGACCTCTGACCACCTCTCATTGAACCAGATAAAATCTTGGGATTTTCTCTGACTACTGTGCTGGGGATTTCCTTCAACTTTTTCCTGTGTTAGTTCCAGTTTCTTGAATGCTAAGTCTTCCTTTTTGATGGTTTACTCTCTCATTTTAATGAAACACAGCTTCCAGCAACTTCCTCATAGTATACGTGCTTGAAAATAGTTCATTCTTCTCTCACACTGTTGATAGACTGGTTGGGTATAGAATTCGAGGTTGAGAATCACTTGACTCAGCTGATGGAAGGCATCTGTACATCTCTGGCTTCCTGCAAAATTTTTATTCCCAATCCATTGTGTCTAACTTCAGATAACTTTTCTTCTTTATTCTGGAACTTTCTAAGATCTTTTCTTTATCCCTAAATTTCTGAAATTTCATACAATGTGCTTTGGTTGGCTTCTCTCATGCCCTTAGGGCATGTGCACTCACTGGAGAGAGACAGACAGACAGACAGACACAATGATAGGAAAGTGAGAAATCACCCCCTAGGGGATGGCCACACTGCAGTCCTGGGATCTTGGACATGCATATACAGGCACCTACGTGATTCTGAAGTAATGGGCCCAGGATTTGCACCATGGTCATCCATGTGGAAGCTCCGTGACATAACTGCTATACCGTCTGCTGATTCCAGCTTGACTCTCTTTTCATTTGTTGCTTTGGGCAAAAAGTGGATTGTTTTCATCTGTAGATTTATGTTCTTCAGTTCTAGGAAATATTTTTCTATACTTCCTCTGGGACTCCTATTATTTGAGTGTTGGCTCTCCTGAATTAACCCTTAAATTTTCTTGTTGTTCACCTTTACCATTTTGTTCTGCTTCCTGGAAGTTTGTTTATTCGTTTGTTTGTTTGTTTTAGTTCTGTTTTTATCTTCTGATTCTCCTGCCCCTCCTCCTCCTCCCCTCCTCCCTCTCCGCTTCTTTCTTCTCCACTTTCTTCTTTTTGTTTTATTTTTATTTTTTAGGTTTTTACCATAGGACATGTGTGCTCATCAGAGACAGACAGAGGGAAAGTGAGAAATCACCCCCTAGGGGGTATGGCCACACCATAATCCCTTCTTCTCCACTTTCCTCTTGGGATTTTGGGCATGCATGCACATGTGCCTGGTATGATCCTCAAGCCACCAGGCCTAAGACTTGAGCCATAGTTAACCATGTGAGAATTCAGCACTTTAACCACCAAGCCACCTGCTGGACCCTCTTCTTGTTTTAAATCAACATATTTTTCATTTCTAAGAGCTCTTTTCTGTTTTCTGATTGCTCCTTCACTACGGCATTCTGTTCTTATTTGTATAAATAATGTTTCCTACTTCTTCAAGGATAGTAATAATATTTTTTTTTTAATTGCCAAAGAGTGAATGTGCTCACTAGAGCAAGGGGGTGGGGGAAGCCCCCCGCACTGCTACCACCATGAGGAGTGCTCACACACCTTCTCCGTTTCTGAGCATGCCTCAGGGTTCTGAGCTCACACACCTTCTCCGTTCTGAGCATGCGTGCGCACACAGCTGGCGTGATTTTCAGTCCCAGGGCTGGGATTCAAACCCTATCCTGCTACGTAGTGTCCACTCCCTTAACCTCTCGGCCAGCCCTTAGTGATAGTCTCTAAAGGTGTCTTCCGCTCCCGTGTTGTTTCTCTTTCTTGCTGGTTCCTTACCTCTGTTTATTTGGTTGTGGTTAGTATCATCAGGTGGGGCCCCAATGATCGACTCCCGGAGGGTTAACAAGGTGAAGGAATGAGAGACCCACAGGGAACACAGACCACGCTCTCCTGCCCACCTCTGTGGTGA